AAAAAAAAAAATAAGAAAGCATAATATTTTACAATATTAAAGCTGTACTGTATTTTTTAATCCGATAAATGCAGCCTTAAAAAGAACATGTTTGAATGGTATTATATATTATGAATCACCTTTTCTAACGTGCACAATGAAACATTTCAGTGCAGAAATCTCAACTGACTGTAAATTAGATATTTTCCATTCACAATAAAGCAGACTTACTTTACGCAGTCATTAAAAAAATGAGGTTTGTCAGCTTGAACAATGACAACGTCAAAGAATTCCCTCCACTCCTTTCCAACCATGTACTTCATGCCTTTATCACTGAAAAAATACAGAAAAAACCCACAATTACTTAACGATAACAGTGCAAAAATAATAAATATATAAGCTAATGTTTAATTTTATGACTATATAAGAAAATTATTTGGGACAAAAAAAGAATTAGGGGTTCAAAATAATAATAATTTACCCAAATTGTCCAGAAAAATTTGGAGTTTCACTTTGAGGTCCTTTATGAATTAATCTGCTGAATATGATACAACAGAAAAGAAACTCACACAAAGCTGAAGGGGCTGTTGGTAATTAGGAAAAGTTTCTTCCCATGACTGGCCAGCCGGTGCAACACAGCGTATGTCTCGTCTCCTCTGAGAATGTATTTCTCTGGGGACCGAATAAGGAAGGAAAAGGGGTCACAAAAGGCAGAAAAAAGATCCAATTCTATTCTATACAGGCTAAAACCGAATCAGTCATTTTTTTTAGACTATGTGACGTGACATGTGGCCAAGTATGGTTACCCATACTCGGAATTAGTGCTCTGCATTTAACCCATCCTAAGTGCACACACACAGCAGTGAACACACACACACCGTGAACACACACCCGGAGCAGTGGGTGTGTTGATTGTAATACAGAATCTGATCAAATCGGTTTTCCTGTTTGCCTAAAAAGTGTTTATACTGCAATGTAAAATCTGTGATAAGGATTTGCAGGTTCCCTGCTCGCCCGCAGGGATACAACAAACATTAAAACTAGTGGTCGACCGATATAGGTTTTTTGACAGCCGATGCCGATATCTTGGTAAGCAGGGAGGCCGATGGCCGATATCATTTTATTTATTTTAATTTGTATTTAAGAAATTTGAAATTATTTGAAAATGGATTCAAAATAATTGTGTTAAATAAACATACATATACTTTAGAAGACAATCAAATAAATAAACATTTAATAAAAATCTAATTAAAAAGGAAGTAAACACTGTAACCAACAGGGCACTCAGTTTTCTGGGAAGTTTGTGTGCATTGGGAATCATATATATATATATTTTTTTTTTTTCAAATAAAGCCAAGGTAACACTCATTTTACATACAGCACGCAATGAAAATGACATGAATACGACCATCACAGAACACGCGATCATGCAGGATACAAATGCACACTTCACAAGATCTCACAACTGGATCCAACTAAGTTTGCAAGGTTTGTGAAATTAAATGTTCATTAGTCATTCAAAGATTTGTTTAAATGATATAAATGCGTATTTGCTGAATGCTGACGGCAAATGAGAAAGTATTATAATGTTTGCCTTTCTATTACTAATAATATTAAAGCAATCGTTATAATACTTTTTTGTATACATTTTAATTCCTTTGTTTAACAGTTCTATCTGATTATTAGACAGACTTCTATCCATATTAGACAGAACTGAACGACGACAGCAAACAAGAGGGAGAATGTGACCTGAATGTGAGCACTCAGGCGCACACAAAATAAAAGTCCCGCCTTGAACACATCGGCCAAACAGAAAAACTTATCGGCCTTGGCGATATATCGGTTGACCACTAATTAAAACCAAAGATTAGATTGGGCTAGCCTAACAGAACCGCTCGCTTCAAATCTCATTCTCCAGAGAGGGCTGATTATGCAACAGTCTGCTCTGAAAACAAAAGACTGCTCTCCACCTATATACACACTAGTGCTGGGCGGGATGACCAAAAATTATATCACTGTATTTTTCAAAATTATACCCGTTTCACGGTATTTTTTCTTCATGCATGACCAGGTGTTAACCATATTTTCTACTGATTGAGAGAGGAAATACTGCAGTATATTGACTTCGAATGCCCTATTGTACTGTCATGATGAGTGAATATTGTCAAAAAATACCACACTAAATAGTGACTAAACCCCTTTTAATGTTAGCCAGGAGGTCACTCTCATTTACAATCATGGCATCGTCTGATAAAATCAACATGCATCTACACTAAAGATTGCCACAACTATGCGGTTGTTTTGGCTATATTACTTTTTTTGTCTCATGCAGCGCACTGCCTGCGTCTGAGTAACAATCTAAAAAAAAACAACAAACAAAAAAGTGCATGTGATATTAACAGACGAACTACGCTCATATTTATAATTCCAAACAATCAGTAAGCGACAGGTGCTAGGAAACGCTGTTTTGTACTCATTTATTGATGAGTCGGCTGCGGTGCGGCCAACTGAATGCACTGCTTCTCTGCCGCTCACTGCACAGAACAGACGCCGAAAGAGGTGACACTTCTCCGGAAAAGTCAGACCTCACGTTCGCGGGACAGCACTGGTGAAATCTTCCAACTAAACCATAGCTAAGGTTTATCCAAAAAAAGTCACTCAGTTTGTCGGTATGAATATTCTATAGAAAAAAGTCGCTAAAAGGGTCTGAAAGTTGCTAAATCTAGTGCTAAAGCCGGAGCTAATGGCAGGGGGTGGTGGATATTTGTGGCGGTCAATGTGGATATTGTGGATGAGTTCTTCTGTGTCATCACGTTCTATTAGTTCTACAGCTTCAGTTTCGGAACTTTCACGCTTAGTAACACATACAGCTGTTCCCTCACCACAGTGCAGCAGTGAAAAGGGACCCCTTTCAAACAGTGTCGCGTTCCGAATGTTGTTTAAGCGACATACACCGGTATTGCAGTATTTTAAAAATTAATATCATAACAAAAATAAACACCGGTATTCGGTCTGAACCGGTATACCACCCAGCACTAATACACACCACATACACACACTGCACAGTCATATCTGGAGTGTCAACTTCAAGTCTGGTTGTCATTAGCTTCAGGTTTCAATAACATGATCTTCACTTGGCTACTTGATTCAGTGCAAATCTTACTTTAGCTAAAATTTTAAGCCATTTTGGGCCACATATTTTGGTAATGCACATAGTAAATATTTGTTCATACTCACCAAGATCTTGCATGATCCATTTGTACATGTAACCCTTGATGTGCACCATTCCAATTGCATCCTGAAAAGACAGATTTTATCCGTCAATTCAGTGCTCATATTTCTCAAACTATAAAAGTTTAAAGGGGTCATATGATGCGATTTCAAGTTTTCCTTTCTCTTTGGAGTGTTAAAAGCTGATTGTGCATAGATAAGATCCCTGAAGTTGCAAAGACTAAAGTCTCAAAACCAAAGAGATATTCTTTATCAAAGTTAAGACTCTGCCACGCCCCCCTAAAACGGCTCGTTCTAACACGCCCCCACATATCTACCTCACTATGTGGCAATATTTGCATAATGCCGCCCAAATGTGCACGCAAAGAAAGAAGGTGTGGTTTCAGTAACCGCAGTTAGTGTTGAAGCAGCCATGTCAGGGAGACGCTGTGTGTTCCAGTGCGAAAGCAAAAGCACTTTATTTGGCCTTCCGAAAGTAGATGCATTTAGGAATCTTTAAGATTACTTACAACAGAACAGCAATGCATTTTATGGACGACCGTTTCGTGAACCTAGGAGAGGAGTTTAAGTATTTGCTATTGACTGTTCAAATTAGTTTTGCGCATCGTGTGTGTGTGTGTGTGAGAGAGAGCGAGAGAGAGAGAGCACGAGAGAGAGAGTGAGAGAGAGAGCGAGAGAGGGTCACATCACGGAGTCAGCTATCTTAACCATGGTTTGTGTACACATACCAGCTTCTTCACTGTGTCTGTCACGCGACTCTGTTCCCCTTTCAGGCTCTGTCTTTACATTTATTTTGAAAGATGAAGCTCGCGATTAGGGTAAGGGGCGTTACATTTCCGACGAGTGCTTGCGGTGTTCGGCCAATCACAATACACTGGGTCAGCTGGCCAATCAGAGCAGACTGCGCTTGTCGGAAGGAGGGACTTTGTAGAAAACGAAGCGTTTGAGAGAGGCGGGGCATAGAGAACCTACGATAATGTACAGTATTTGAAAAATAATGTGTTTTTTGAACATTAAAGCATGTCAACATATTCTGTTACACCAAATACACAAAATAATGATCTTTAAAATAGCATCATATGACCCCTTTAACAAACTCTAATCGTGAACCAGTGTTTAAGGCAAACACTTTCTATTCTCTTTTTTTATTAAATCTTTTTTCCCCTTTGTTTGTAAAAATGATTTTAAAACAGATCTTTCACAAACTTTATTTTGATCCGCTGTCAGGTTTCCGGTTCCCTATGACATCTTACGTACTCACACACTACACTGCGAGAACAGTACAATCTGTTCTAGCAGCGCGGACAGAAGTCAGTTCGAAAAGCTGCGCTTGAAATATAAACAAGAACAGCGGACACTCTACTTCCTGTCAAGCACTCTAGTGGATGTGTTAATGAGGCAAACCCACATACTGCAAAATAATTCATTTGATTCTTGTTGACACACTTTGGAGGTCTGAAATATTTTGGATTTTAGCCATTTAGTGCACAGCTAAGATTTTTATTTTCTACTAGTCAGCAAGAGCACGAGTAAGGAGGAGTGGAGAGTGGGGCAGAAAAGCAGAAGTGAAAGACAAGACCACATTCTACAAGTAAATTGACCCGAAACAGCATGAAAAAACAAAGTCGCTCAGTAACCCAATTCAGGACCACCGTGATCTGGGCTGAATGAAAACAAATCAGTCAGCGGAACTTAACCACAGGCAGAAGAAAGAATCTGCTCAGCTTGACGACAGAGTTTACAAAACGACAGACAAGAAACAGCTCTCACGGTTTTAAATTACAAAAGCAGTTTGTAAACTATTCCCACAGTCTGTAAAAACAGCCTGGCTTTATTGTGCAAATGCTCTTAATCGTCAAGACAAGTGGTTTGATCAGGATTCACGAAGGGCATATTGACTTCACACTTACGGAGACATCTTTGTAGAGATGCACTGGGTCGTACTCTACGTCATTTGAGATGAAGTAATCGTTCGCAGCTGCCAAGAGAGTCATCTCGGGGATGGAGAACACATCCATAAACTGCTTCATTTTGGGACCCTGGAACATATAAACCAACAATAAAATGCATGTGTCATATGTATCGTACAACAGTAATAAATAGGCAAAGCTTCATTCATCTTTATATGTAAATTATATGACTTTTCTAAGAGAAGCTGGAAATACTGTTGGTCTGTTGCGAGGAAATTGCAGGTCATATATTTTAATGACCATTTTAATGCAAAACCTCACACACACACAAAAACTGTTAACCAGTATTTAACTACTAATTCCTGAGCCATGAATGTGCACGGCCATATCAGTCATTTGAGATAATAAATAAATATTCTTCAATGCAGTGGTTCGCAACAGATTTTAAATTGGACTGATTTTAAATTTAAAATGGCAATATTAAAATAGAGTACTATTAGTGTATTAAAATGTACTGAAAAAAGCAAACAAATGTTTTTTTTTTTTAAATCAAACATAATTAAAAAAATATATATTATTATTATCACCATGAACTGCACGGCTTTAACATAAACATCATGGTCTGTATAATTCAACAGGACAGTTAATTTATTTTCAGTTAAAAGTTGTATTATTTGAATTTTATTATTTATGCTTTCCCTACTGTCTGTGACCTCATCAGAACCACTGCTCCAATGAATCATTCATACGGATTTGCACACCACTTTAAACAAGTTTGAATCGACTCAAAAAAGGTTGTTCACAAGTCAGACAATACTAGGCAAGCAAGTTTTACTGCATCCAAGAGCAATATTAAGCTAATGAAACATTTTGCAAAAGAGCATAAGAAAAATTTCCTCATTAAATATCCATGTCTTTTCCTAGTCTGCAAAACATAATTTTATAAATTCCTGATACGTTTGTGTTTCCCACGACTGTGGACATCCTGCAGAGAAGATAACCATCTGATACAGAAAGGACTGTAATGTTTTTGTTGTAGATATATAGTGTACAGCCACTTACTCATGGTGGCTGGACACACAAAATCAGATCTGAGCTCCTGACAGGGTGGCACCACTTTAGCCTCACTGACCTCTTAGTAATGAGGCACAAAAATGTAAGCATGCCAATAACGCCATGTAAACATTTGCACTCTCGAATGTAAAACTGAAATTAAATTTGATTAAATGAAAATACCACGTGGAACAATCACCTTGCCGTAAAATCCACTGACTTGGTGGAGGGGAACATGATTTGAACCTCCATAAAGTTTCATGACCTCATCATCAGGGACAGGCTTCAGACCCCTGTGAATACAAGAAACAAAGCCTTTGAATTACATAACAAACAGTTCTCCACACAAACTCACTAACCAAATTGATCAAATGAGGGTCAATTTACCTATAAACAGTGCCCAACTGAATATAATGGAAGGCGTCGATTTTCATCAGTAGTCCCTATGGCATTGAATAATAATAAATAAATAGTTTCATTAATTTTATTGCACAGCTGCAATTAAACAATGCTGCAAAAACTCAAGCACAGAAGGTTAAATGCACCTTTTGGATGTCGTAGTGAAGTCCCCGAGTTGCAAAGTTGGGAATGTAGTCGTACTTACTGATTCCCTCGGGATACTAGTGAAAGAAACAAAAGTTAAGTCATCTCAAACATGCCAACCTCCCCCCCCCCTGACTACACATGACAGCTCAGACAGGTAACCATCATTAGAACAATTAAGCAATACAGAACTACACATAATCTGAGCACTTGAGCCAAAAGCAAAGGATGCCTTTGTTGCATTAGGGGCCGTTCACACACAAAAAAAAGTTGTGTTCCACTGCACTGCTTTTTCATTGTTTTTCTATGCTGATATGAGCTTGACTACACATGACAGCTCAGACAGGTAACCATCATTAGAACAATTAAGCAATACAGAACTACACATAATCTGAGCACTTGAGCCAAAAGCAAAGGATGTCTTTGTTGCATTAGGGGCCGTTCACACACACAAAAAAAGTTGTGTTCCACTGCACTGCTTTTTCATTGTTTTTCTATGCTGATATGAGCTAGATGGACACGTTTTGACTGCTGCGCTCGCGTCTTTTGTAGCGCCTCACACATAACATAAGTGTTTTTTCCCCATTCCAGTGCTTTGCGTCTCCCATTTTTAAACATTCTGTATATGGCCTTTTAAACTTTCCAAGGGGCCGTTCACACAATGCGTCTTGCATTCCACTGCACTGCTTTTCATTATTTTTCTACGTAAACATGCGCCAGACCTGACCGTTACGTTCACGTCTTACACAGTGTTGTAAAAACGTGGTGCTGAAATTAAAAGTTTGACTTGAAAAAAAAAAAAAAAGACTTAAGGTGCATCCTAAATCGCGTACTTATGCACTATTCTCTGACGTTTTGTAGTATAAATAGTGTGAGTAGTGAGTTCACACTTAAAATTCTAAAAAGAAAAAGTGCACTTTAAAATACCCGGATGATGCACTTAAATAACCGGAAAAAAGTGTGGAATGTTGAACACTTCATGCACTCGAAAGGGGAGGGGCTATCAGACTCCGATTATGAATGACGAAATAACCTTATATAATTCATACACTACATGGTTGAGTACATAGTGCATAAGTGCGTCATTAGGGATGCGGCATTACACTTTGCGTTTTTCCCCGCTACATCTTACATTTTTAAACATAAAAGTGCTGTTGCGTTTGTTTTTTGCAGCATTCTAAAAAGGTTGCGCTAATGTTAAAAGTTAAACTTAAAAAAAATAAACCGTTTATGTTATTTTTTTCAATTTCACTGCCCCGCCTCTTTTTAGCAAAAATTCCGTGTGATTGGACCGAAAGTGTTTATTTTTTGGCTATGCGTTTTACCTCATAATGACGCTTGGTATTTATAATTATTTGGTTTAATAGCAATGAAATATGCAAATCAACAGGTTTAGATGGCGTTAAGGTGGATGTTTTTCTCGGACCTTGTAGTGCTGAACGAGAAACTCTCGCGCCTTGTTGTATATCATCTCGTCCAGCGCGCTGGAATAGAGCGCGAGCGTGTAATCATAGTCAAAGCCGTAGATGTCCACCTCTTCCAGATTCACCTCATTGTTGGCATAGATGGTGGAAGGGTTCAAAAGATTGCACACCCCAGGAGGAATCAAATCTGTGAGGCGGAGATTTGAAGTTTATTATTACATTAAAATACTTTTTCTTCTGTGCATAAACAAGGCAATTAAGAAAAACCACACGTCTCTTACACAAGAAATAGTTGTGAACATAAAATGTCGATCATGCACTGGACATGTGAATGGCAGTTGTTTACTAAATGTCCAGAGGCCAGCGCCTCTTTGGAACGGAGGAAAAGTGGAAAAATAAGTTTGGCCACGAGTCCAGAGATTACAGAACATCACATTTGAGAACCAAAAATAAATCAACATACCGTGCACGAGCCGTTTCATCTCATTGTATCTCGCCCACAAGTACGTTTTATTGTTAATCTGCGGGGCCGTGGATGAGAAAGCCCTGCCAGATTTGGCAAGAGATTCTTCGCCTCTATTTTTGCCCACGATCTGATGTCTGTGCGATGTGACAGCGGCTGCAACAGGGTTATGATTAACTGGTAAATGTTTCGTCGGTCCACAGTTGTGTCCATCTTTGCAGCAGTTCTGTCCGTTCATTGTTGAACCAGCCGAGGCGAAGCTTCCACAAGCAAAAGCAGGAATATTCAATCCTGCGCACAGCGAAATTGTACAACTGGAGCTTCTTTGCCACATTGCGTTACTTAAACTGCCTAATTTTTTGCAAGCCATGTCTAAACTACACTAACAAAGTTTACTTCTTTCATTCGTACTTGCCCCGCGTGTTCAGTAGGCTCGCTTCTGGTAACTGATATAACTTCGCTGAGGGCATCGTTGGTCGGGCGCAGGCTGTTATATTAACCAATCATATACCAGCCTTGTGATGATTGACAGTTGGTTAAACCAATAAGACGTGGATTCTGCTGCGTTGCTTATATAGGGGTTAGTTCAGGAGGAAAACGTGTTTACATGCTAGACCCACCAATACATTTCCTTGTTGAAAATTTTGCAATATTTCATGCCTTATGATTGGTCAGACGACCTGGCAACTGCCTACATGTGCTACGTGACTGAATATGCTTACCATACTTAACTTTTTGTTCCTAGAGACATAGGCATGTATGTACAAGATGTGACCATAGATTAGAAGCAGCTGTTTCTACTTAAAAAACATACGATTTTTTTGAAGCGTTTATGGTGTTCTGCGCTTGGCGTTTCACCAGACTTCACGAGTGCTGACCAAATGCGCTGGAACAAGAGGGACGCGTTATGACTGCGGTTCAGTGCAGTAACAAAAAGGCTGATGTCATTAGTTTACCGCTTTTGATCATATGTTCGATTTATGTTACTATCTTATCCTAACTGACAGGCAAAATTGATTTTTATTTATGAGACCCTTCCGGAATGCACACCTTTTTTTTTTTCAGTGAGTCGATTTTAGGCGCAGTAACAAGAGTAAAGTCACGTTTTACACACATTCACAAGTAGTCTAAAAGGATTTACTAGGCTAATCAGCTAAGAGACATAAAATAAGGAGTGTAGACTAGCTAACATGTTGTCACTTTATGGCCATGCATGTCTGAAGTAACCGTTTGTTTACAGCTGCATGTATCAGGGACGCGGGAAGTAGGGGTGTTGAGGGGGCTGCAGCACCCCCTATTTTCACATGGTTGCAAATGCAACGCCAAGTTTGTTCATTTAAATGTATTCCGTTTTAGCATTTAATAACTTATTTGTAATGATCTCTGAAATGTAAATTGTAAGTGGGCTATAATAAACCCATGTTTATCTTTATAAACATGATTAATTTTACTTGTGATGTTGTCTATATGGGATGATTAGCCTAATCCTCATGAACACGTGACGCTGGCCGCGTGGTATCAGACATGAACTGTACAGAATGCGAACAAGATTAGCTTTGATACAAGGAGATAATGGCGCAAAAGCGAATTTCAGATTTTGTTAAATGCCCATCCCAGCAAAAACTTTCCAAAATCGGCATCCAAACAACACCAGCCCCAGCACGAGCACTGACGTAAGTGAACCAGCCCCCCCCCCAAACCCCCAACACGGACACACACAGCACCCCCAACCGAAAACATCTTCCCGCACCCCTGGCATGTATTGACATTCATACAGCATTCATTTGAATATGTGTGGAACAGGGTGTGGGCTGAGGCAACAGACGCGCGTTTTGTCAATGTCCCAGGAAAATCCTCATGAAACTATGTAGAAACTGGATCTCATAAAACCTGTGTCAGTATCATATTTCACTGCAAAATGTAAATGTAATATATTTAATTTTACTTGAAGACTTTTTTATTTCATATTTAAAACAGAAACATTTTCGTTGTTCGTCTTAATTTTTCGTTTTTACATTCAGGGGTAGAAAATGGATAAACATGACCTTTTGCCAACTCTCGCGAGACAAGCAACCGTAGCTTCAAAAACAATTATTTAATGTCATCAATATTATTTATAATAAATTATTTATTACCAATAAATGAGCCTGCAACATATTAAACTGAAAAAAACTTTCTTTTTATGTAAAAAGCAAAAATCAGCAAACTACAACAAAGCGGGAGATACGCACTCATTTCCAATCAGCTGTGAGAATAGGATTGGAGAGATTGAAAAGGTGAAAAAAGACAAGAGCTGTAACATATTTATAGCCCAATAAAATACCGGTATATTCGAACCAAACTATACTGTTAGTATTAGTATAGACCTATTTGTTTTTATTATATTATACACTACTTTCATCGCTTGGATTACAGCGTCACGCGCCTTCGTGTTGAATGTGATTTTTCTCCAATGAGGGAGGAATGTTTGACGAATACAGCACTTATATTATTGCACTGATTACTGATAACTGAGCAGACAGTGTCAATCAATGCATTGATACGGTGAACATAAACGGAAAGAAGAACATAAATGTAAAGTGCCCAAGTTGCACATTTTATTTAGCTGTCATCAAAAAATCTGTGTTGCAAACGGTGGCAAAGCTGCGTGACGCACTGGACTGCGCGGAGCGAATGCATTTACATTATAGCGCAGACCAGTATCGATTTTAGTGTAAATATGCAGCAGTCATAAGTAACTAATTATTTTAGACAGTATGCTGAGTTTATTTAATTAATAATGAGTATAAGTTGATTTCATTTTAGAAACAAAACGCACAGCATTGTGTTTCGTTCCTGAATGAATCCGAGTTTTTTAATGTATCGTTTAAATGAATGGTTCAATGACCCATGGTTGAATGGACGGCACAATGGCTGCGTTTACACTTGGCATTAACATGCGATCACCGTTATCTGATCAAGCAGATCGGATCATCAGTCAATCAGGACACAGCACCTTTACACTTAGCAACATCAGCTGACTTCACGATCTGGGTAACCGATCAGATCTGTACTTCCCGCGCAATATTTAAATAAGTCTGCGGTGCAAAGTCGACCTGAAGTGGTGGGTTTTCTTTTGAAAACTATATTCAGTCGCGGGACATTTTACAAGTCAAAATAAATGTGCGAGTCTCACTAGCGCTGTTCTTCCGACAGATCGGGAGAGAGGGGGCGGCGTTTTGCGTGATGTCGACCTGCGAATGGCTGGATTGCGTTTACATTACACCGAGATCCGATCACAATGCGTCCTCGACTACCTCTGGACCAGGACACGCTGATTGGATAACATTCTGATCAGAAGCGCGTTTACGCTTGTATTTTCAATGTTTATGTGGACAACATCCGGATACAGGTCGCATGTTAATGCCAAGTGTAAACGCAGCAATGACTCATTCATCAACAGAATTGTATTGACTTGCCGCCACCTTATCCTATCGTTCCATTTTGTCATTCATTTCATATTTCTGTATTCAGAATGTTTTTGTTTAAAACATTATTTGCATTACATTATGCAATTGTAATTGCTGCATAAATGCATTTACTGCCCTTTGACCAGCATTAACTGTCTAAATACATCTAAAATCAACTTAAGATTCAGCTTTCAGTGCAAAGATGGCTTTATTGATACTGTTTTAATTGGTAACACCTATAATGTCATATTTTTCTAATATGGACTAAATTTAGGAATTTAACATTAAAGATGGCCATACATATTTAATAAAGTTAGAAAAAAATCATTTTTTATACAAATAAATAACATTTAGGAACCTCAGCCTCACTTTTTGTGTAGTGTATGTCAATGTACGGTACTTCATATAATGATATATGTTGTTCTAGACTCAGACCCCTGGCCCCAGCCACCTAAGTCATACCCTGGGTGTATTCGTTTTCTTTGTCTTTTTAAAGCGGCATTGCAAATTGGCATCTCAAACCAGTTTACCCTTTTCATTAAACCATGGCGTCAAATTACTCATGCCAATGAATTCAATAATTCAAACAACACTGAAACAACCATTGAGGAACAAAAAGTATACAGTGGGTACGGAAAGTATTCAGACCCCCTTACATTTTTCACTCTTTGTTATATTGCAGCCATTTGCTAAAATCATTTAAGTTATTTTTTTTCCTCATTAATGTACACACAGCACCCCATATTGACAGAAAAACACAGAATTGTTGACATTTTTGCAGATTTATTAAAAAAGAAAAACTGAAATATCACATGGTCCTAAGTATTCAGACCCTTTGCTCAGTATTTAGTAGAAGCACCCTTTTGATCGAATACAGCCATGAGTCTTTTTGGGAAAGATGCAACAAGTTGTTCACACCTGGATTTGGGGATCCTCTGCCATCCCTCCTTGCAGATCCTCTCCAGTTCTGTCAGATTGGGGCCTACATGTGTAACATGCCATACATTTTCTACCCCTGAATGTAAAAACGAAAATGAAAAAAGGTGCCGTTTTCTCATGTTACCGTTTTCTATATATATATATATATATATATATAAACGAGTGAACGCAATGTTCACGGATCTGGCCTGTTTTCAGGACCTTTTCTTTTCCATTTAGTTCATATTAGGACCATTTCCCCGTTAAGCTGACCATATTTTCGTGACAATTATATCAAACATTTGTTTAAAAAAAATAACGGAGTAAAATGTGAGTGGTAAATGTTTTTGTCAGATTTAATCAGTTGATAACTTCCTCAGGACAGCAACTGGTAGCAAAATGGTGGAATATCAGAACATCATGTTCAGAGATTGAGCAGATAAATTACAAAACATTCTTTTCAATACAAATTCGCAATTAGACCTTTTCCCCATATCGTGCAGCCCTACTCTAAATTTCCAATTGTTACAGCAAAGGCGAAAAAAGTGCCTTAACAAGTTAAAGCATCTAATAACTTTACCTCATTTTAAGAAAAAAAAAAAAATAGGACAATAACAACCGATAAAAATGGTGAAAGATCAGAACATCTTGTCCGGAGATTGAGCAGATGTATACAAGTCATGGTAAATTACAAAACATTATTTTCGATATAATCTCTAAAATCAAACACTCCAAAAGACAGGCATAAACTATTAAACTTATGAAAACCTGTTTGATTGGGACAATCATCAGTGTTAGTCAATCAGACACTTAAACGTGTTTACACAGCTTTCCTACAATCAGTCTGACAAGAGTACATTTTTACCATAGAGGTTCAATGACGATATAACTTTCAATGACGAGTAGTTGAGCAGTTCTATGGATCCATCAGAGCCAAACAAACAGATACGTTATCAAATTTATGCTTTAATATTAAACAGGGGAGCTGTTCATGAGTATTAACTTGTTATCAGACTACTAATCTCCAAGCTCAATCAAACTGACTGAATTTTGTAATGTTCATGAGCAGCTCAACCCATATGAACAA